TCAGAAGGTTTTCCAAGAGAATGGAGTTTCTGTGCTCCCTGGAGAATGGCGGGAAACACTGTTGGAACTTTGAGACTAGGGGATGTTCAATTAGTGTGGAAATTCTTAGATGGGTATGAGTTCCCTCGTCCAACATTCCATTATAGTCCATCACAATCCACACTCTACCAAAGAGTGGGTGCCTCCAAGCAATGTTCCCCCTCCTGGGAACCAGTGGTTTTGACCCCACTAGAGGTGCTTAAACTCAGCAGCAGGTTGAGATCACCTGGGGAGTTTTACAGGTGCAGATGCCAGGCTCTACTCCCCCAGATCCTGATTTGGGGTGTGGCCGAGGCATTGGGAATGTTAAGAGTTCCCACGTGTGATTTTAATGTGCAACCTAACTTGAGAACTATGCCAGAACTTTAAATTCTTCCTTTTTGGCTTGAAGACTTAAAAAAAAGAAAGAAAGAAAGAAAGAAAGAAAGAAAGAAAGAAAGAAAGAAAGAAAGAAAGAAAGAAAGAAAACAGCAGCCCTCAAACTTTAATGGGCAAACAAACAAATCACCTGGAGATCTTTTAAAATGCCTTTAGTTAGGAGATCAGGGTGGGCCTGGGCTTCTGCCCTTGTAAGAAGCTCCGGGAGGATGCCATACTGCTGTTCCCAGGCTACCCTTGAGTAGCCAGGCTGTAGCTTGGATAAATACAGACTGGCATGAGAAATACGGCTTTTCAGGCCAGTTGGGCTTTTAAGTAAGAAGTTACTTCACGTCCCTGAGCCTCAGTTTCTGATCTATAAAATGCAGGTGAGCGGTAGTAACCACATCACAGAACTCTTATGATGCTTAAATGAGATAATGCGGTAAACATGTTTAGCACAGTACAACAAAGGTTTGCTTTTGAATTGTTAGGACAGCCAACACTCATGGAATGCTTACTATCTGTCAGGAATTTTCAAAGTGCTTTCATGTCTTAACTCAGTCATGCCCCAAAACAACACTGTGAGGTGGGTATTATTATTTCATCATCCCTATTTCACATATGAAGAAACCGCAGCACAGAGAGCTCGAGTACCTTAATTTATGTTACACACGAATAGCTAAACTGGTGTTTGCACCCAGGGAGAATGAGGACTGTTATCCCTCCCCAGGGCTGGAATGGGTCAGTGGAAAAAGGCACTTCTGCCCTGCAGGCCTGACTTTCTGGAGGCCACGAGCTGAGGGCTAACCCTCTGGAAGGGGCTGGGACCAGCAGGGGGCAGCCTAGGGCTACGTGGGTGCTGTGCATTTCACCACCCAACGGCCACAAGCTCTTAAGCATCTCCGAGCTCCCTTCTTCCCTCCACCCTCAGGTCCTCGCCTAGGAGGCCGCCCGAAATCCATCAGGACAGAATAACCCTACCTAACAAGTTCAAATCAGAGTGCCCCCAGAGAAGACGACGTCCGCATCGAAAGCAACCGGCAAAGTGCGTCTTCTGTAACTCCCTTTTACCCCCGGAGCGCAACCAAACGGCGAAATCTACAAATCTCTCTGTATACCAAGAATTCAGCTAAGGCTCTGGGAGCCCAGCCAGTGGCAAAAAGTCGGGAATTCCTCTTGGATTCCCCAGAGCACTCTGGAGGCGCCGGGCATCCGTGCACGCGCTCAGGAGATGCGGACCCGCGCGAGGAGACTCTGTTTTGAGGGTTACCTCGGAAGGGCGGACGGGATTTTCTTGTGTGGTCCTTAGGGTGGGGGCAAATGAATTTGAGGGGCAGTGCAGGGGGTGGGGGTTAACCGGGCGGTTTCCATGGCGCCCGGGGCGTGGGGGAGGAATGTACCCCGCAAACTGTGGCGAAACAACTGGGCTGCCGGGCCAGCCCGGCTGGAGAGGGCGGGAGTGCTGGGTGGGGGTGGGGGAAGGCCGGGCGGGACGGGGGCGGGGCGGTCACGTGCGCCCTAGGGGGCGAGGCCCCGAGCCGGCCTCGGAGCGAACCGAGTCCCGCGAAGTGGCTGCGCAAGGAGCGAACTCTTAGCAGGACGGAGGGGCTGAAAGTGGCCAGAACGCCTTGGGAGGACTCAAGACACTGGCGGCTAGGGCCGAGCCGAGGTGTCTGTCTGCTGCCGGCCTGGGGGACAGCGGGCCCCACGGAAAAGTGGGAACAGAAGTTTGGAGGTGAGCGTTGGGAGGACAACTCACGGCTTTTACACAGGCTTGGGTCTTTCTTCGGTTCTTTTGGGGAAGACCGGGGCAAGTGCCCCGTCAGCGTTACGGGACCAGCCAAGGCTACTGTCCCTTAAGACTGCCGGAGTCCTCAGTACCTGTCCAGGGCTCCAGGACAGGCCGTGGTCATGGTGAATGAAGAGCCCAGCCTGGAGGAGCGCGATGGCACCCCTGAGCCGGAGTCCGCACTCCAGACGGACCCCAGCATCTCCGCCCACCCCAGCGTCTCCATCCACCCCAGCGTCTCTGGGCACCCCAGCAGTTCGGCCCACCCCAGTACTGTGGCCCAACCCAGTGGCTTGGCCCACCCCAGCGTACCGGGCACGGAGGACCTCAGTGTGATCAAGGTGAGCAAGCGCCGTTGGGCGGTGGTCCTGCTGTTCAGCTGCTACTCCATGTGCAATGCCTTCCAGTGGATCCAGTATGGCTCCATCAATAACATCTTCATGAACTTCTACGGGGTCAGTGCCTTTGCCATCGACTGGCTGTCCATGTGCTACATGCTGACGTACATCCCTCTACTCCTGCCAGTGGCCTGGTTGCTGGAAAAATTTGGCCTGCGCACCATCGCCCTCACGGGCTCGGCTCTCAACTGCCTGGGGGCCTGGGTGAAGTTGGGCAGCCTGAAGCCACATCTCTTCCCTGTCACCATCCTGGGCCAGGTCATCTGTTCTGTGGCCCAGGTCTTCATCCTGGGCATGCCCTCCCGCATCGCTTCTGTCTGGTTCGGGGCTAATGAGGTTTCAACGGCCTGCTCCATAGCTGTCTTTGGCAATCAGGTGGGTAGAGTTTGTGGTGTTCAGAGGAATGTGTTAGATTGGATCTAACTGTCCTTAACTGTGTGGGAGACTACTTTTCTAACTTCAACCGTGTTTGTGACTCTGGGTGACTTTGTGGCTGGGTGTGACTGACAGTGTGAGTGAGTGATAGTGACTGGGTGACCGTGTAAGGGAAAGGCAGGGACCCAAAAGAAGGGGACCTTTTCTTTCACCCACAATTTCTCCTCCCCCAGCAGAAAGCATGTTTCTAAAACGCACGATATGGTTATGATTTCATTCCTGAACCTGTCAGTCCACCTTTGACTTCAGGAAAGCTATTCTTTCTCAGGGAGCAGCCCCAAGGCGTCAGACTATCCTGGTATTATCAGAATTTGGCAGATGTTTTTAGCCTGACCAATCAGCTTTCCTAGAGTGCAGTATCTACTGCACTACACAGGGTTGTAGAGCGGTGCCCTGGTCGGGTTTGGCACTGTTCTTACCTTCTTTTATACACAGCTAAAGCCAGGACAGTGGGAACAATGCCTTGGGCCAAACTCCTTCCCTGGGGTTTAGAGCCAAGTCTAGCAGGATGGAGTAGAAATCTCGCTCTGAATTTCCAAAGACTAGAAACCTTGGAAAGGCCTGGAAAGTTCATCTCTTAATCCCTTCCCTTTCCTTCTTTTTGGAGGAAGCATCTCAAATTCTTTGCCTCTCAATGTGGTGATGACCCAGAAAGTTGGGCATGTTGTGAATCTGATGGCCTTCTCTAAAGATTTGAAGCAAATTTTATATGAAGCCCTTTTTTGTCTGGACTACTGCTTCCAGGTCTCACTGCTTCCCAAGCATCCTCAGCTGCGGCTACGTGTTTAAAAATGACCAGCAACTCTTAGTTCTTACAAGCCTGTTTTCTCTTACCTGTTCATTGCATTTAGATACCTTAACCTTGCATTTAGAAATCTCTCCTTTGGGTCAGGAATTTCTAAAACTTCTCTAAAGGCGAATTTTTATTCTGTTCCTCTTCACCACCAGGAAGTTAACTTGAGCTAAATTTTCCCATGCCAGTATGTCCTGCCACTTGAGCAACAGTATAAGCAATCAATGCAAATGAACAGAGAGGCCCGGCCTCTTCTTTAGCACACAAACGGGCAACATAAAATCCTTTACCCAGTTTTCTCTCACCTGTAGATTTGAATGTTCTGAAGATTGAATTGAAACAAGATGGATCTTTTGTTCAGGGCAACTAAAACATACACTGTTGAGAGCGACATTGACCAGGCCCCTATCCTCCAAAGTGATGTGATGTAGATTTTAACATTCCCACTACAGCCCTGCTGGTGGGTTTGACAGTACTGGGTATTTTCTCTCCCTATTTGCAGCAGACCAGGATGCAGACAAGGTCACTGCAATCCCAAAGCCTTTTTTTGAGGAGAGCAGGAGAACTGGGAGAAGCCCCCAGGTGGCCTGGTGAGATCAGAGAATCCAACACTTGTTTTGTTAACCATAAACGAATAGGTTTTCAAACCCCACCCGCCCGCACACACTTGTGAGGGAACTTAAAGCCAGATACAAGTATATCTTTAAAATTGAATAAGAATTGTTATTCATTCCCCACCCCTAATCCTCACCAAGGCCAGGAAATGCTAAGAATTTTACATTTAAAAACACTCTGACAGCATACAGTAATACCTTGGTTTGTGAGCGTAATTCGTTCTGGAAACAAACTACTCGTATTGCAAGACATCATTCGTTTCCCACGTTAAAATGTATTAGAAATGTTTGCTCATCTTGTGGAACACTTGCAAACCAAGTTACCTTGCAATCCAAGGTTTTATTGTGTATTTGTATCAAGGAACCATCTATTTAGTTTAATTGTTTAGGCCCAACCCAATGTGCTAAGTTAAAAAAAAAAAGTTATTATGAGAAAACAGAATTGTTTATGCTTCCTCACGTAGAGATGAATGTTTGGTTCTCAGCCTGTGTTTTAACCTTTGTTTCTGAGTAAAGAATGGCTGAATGGAGGAGAAATGTTAACAGAGCACCGTGAGCTTCACAGCTTAGAAAAAAAGGCTCCACAAAGCTGTTAAACAGATTTCAGATGTCATGCCACAGAATAACTCTTCATGGCCTGCAAACTTCACACTGATTAGCAAAAACCCCCTGTGCTCTCTGTCTCCTAGTGCTTCATATATGTACCAACCCCTGCTTGCAGTCAATCCAATATTCATTCATTCATTCATTCAACAAGCATTGACCTATGTGGGGGAGGAAGAAAAAATCTTCTACCCTTCTAGACTCTTTAGGCTGGTCTGATAATTAAATCAACATGAGGCAGATTAACAAGAGAAAATAACCAAATTTAATTACATATGTACATATGGGAACCCCATATACATGAGAGGTTCAGAAACAGAAAAGCAATATGAGGTATATATAACATTCCGAGCCAAGGAGTAAGATGGGGATACCTTGGGGCTTCAGAGGGGAAGGAAGGCCATTCGCAGGATAAGAAGAAGAATAGATGTTAAGTAATTGGAAGTTTGCCCTGTTCTATAGATAAGTCATCAAGGTTATTTCTTATTATGGGCAAGGCTCCCAATTTAAATTCTTATAGGTAGTTAAGGGAGAAGCAGACGTTTCTCTTTAACCTGCAGGGTTTCATTTGCCTTCAGCTCAAAATAATCTATGCCAAAGTAGTACATTTTGGGGAGACCTGTTTGGAGCCCCTTCACCTAGCTCCTACCTTTTTGCCAGACTCTGTGCTAGGGCTGCAAAGGTAGCCCCTGCCTTCGCAGAGTTCTTGTACCAGATTTTTAAATAGTGCCAGGCACCAAGATTCAGATAAATACAAAAAACGAAAACAGATCAGAGTATAAAAGATTTATTTTTGGTTCTCCACGAGGTTTTAAGTATATTCTCTGCCTAATAGCTATGGGAAAAATTGAAGAGGAGGGAAGATAAATATCTATTAAACAGCTATTCTGTGCAAGGCACTTTTTCATTTGTTATTTAATTTTTCATTGCTATGAGGTAGGTGGAACTGTCCCCATTGTTATAGGTGAGGAAATTGAGACCCATATAAATAAATGGAGCAACCTTATCTAGGGTCTTATAGCTACTGAGTATTAGAAGGGAGATTTGAACCCAATTCCACCTCTGAAGCCCAACTGGCCAATCTTGAGTCTTCCTGTGGATAAATCATATATTTTTAATTTAAGAAAAGCAGGATTCTAAGGTTTGAATGGCAAAATTCAATCCTCTGACTCCAGAGTTGGTGGTGGTGAACAAGGGTCCAGCAGTGTTCTCCAGAATTTGAGAGCTTAGCTCTGGTCTTCTGTTTTGAGGTTCCCGGCATTCGCATTGCCTCCCCACAGGCTGCATTGTAAACTGCTGAAGGGTTGGTGCTGCAGCTTTGAGCCTAGCAGGGAGAGGCACAAGAAAGTGGGCCCGAGTCTCTGAGAAGAAACCAGTGAATCCTGAGCAGGGGTGAGAGAGGGGAGGCCGCTCAGACTGCAGCTGAAGCGCTTCCTCTGACCAGTTGCACAGGTGGTAACAGCCTGGTATTTTTTAGCAACACTTGTTCTTTGTTTCAAGGGGAAAGTGATCTGTGTGGGGTGGAAGGAATGGTTTGAGTGATGTGGACACATTGTTACTGCGCAAGGGCTGGAAGAAAACCTTGTGTTGGAGCCTGGGGATAGCTTGGTGGCACAGGATGAGGGATATGTGGGAGCTGAAAGAGTTCCTCATGTCAGCTGAAGCCCCATTGAGAACCCTGCAGCACCGAGACAGGAAGGGACTTCCTCCGGGACCCTCAGGCAGCTCACAGCGCAGCGCCACCCAGTAACAGCGGGAGAGAACCAGTTAGCTTTCAAGATACGGAAAATACAGTAACCTTACAGAATCATTTCTGTGGAAGCCATGGCTATCTGGGCTGTCGAAAATAACACTGTTCAATAGAAATATAATGCAAACCACATGTGTAACTCAATTTTCTAGTAGCCACATTAAAAATATATAAAATATAAATGAAAAGGAACAGGTAAAATTAGTTTTAGTACTATATTTTATTTAACCCAATATATCCAAAGTTATGTCAACATGTAATCACTATAGTAAGATTACTAACAAGCTATTTCCATCCCTTTTGCATCCTGAGCCTTTAGAAATTGGCACATAGTCTACACTTACAGACTAACCGTCTTTCCCAGCAAGAGCTGGGATGTGTTCAGCATCCAGGTTGGACAGCTCAGGTCTAGAGCAATGATGGTATTTGCAGGGGAGAAAAAAATTTTCCTTGACAAACTGACGAAGAGTCTTCACAGAAAAAAATCCAAATGTATTTCCTGTGAGTGTTGCTTGACATGGGAGCCTTCATAGGGAAATGAAGAAACAGTTAAGACCTGTGCATTTTGACACCACGTTTGATGAAGAGTGGACAGCCGTGGAGGAATACGACAGGTTAAAGAGTATGAGGGAATTGTAGTAAGCGAGGGGAAACTGAGCAGGGCCTGTGGGCTTGCATCCTCCTTGGCAGCGTAGCAGAGAGGAGGTTGCTCCCTTCCTCCCGATTAGGGAGGGCACCTCTCACAGAAGGGTTTGAAGGCCTGTTTCATGGAGGAGGTCAGAGTGACCTTCTTGCGTCTGCCATTTTCTCAAGCTCCTTCAGCTTAAAAGATTCAATATGCCAAAGTGCTGTCTTTGGGGGTAGCGTGTCCTGAAACCCATCACATTTTAAGCAATTGGAAATCAGCTTCTAGGCCATCAAGATGGGCTCGAGGAAGCTGCAGCCTGGAGGAGGTTCTGCTTGCTGGACTGGCTGGTCATATGGGATCACCTCGAGCAGCTGCGTGTTTCTGAGCCTGACTCAGGAGTCAGGGTCATGCGGCAGGTGGTCAGCCTAGCCTCCTCCTAAACTCATAGCCATCGGGATGTCTTAAGATCATTCTGGATCTACTGTCAGAGGCCTTGTAAGATCTGAGCGAAGTTTGGGGAGGTGAAGGCAAACTCTCATTCTCTTACGTTGG